CTTGATAGAACAAAAGCTTGTCTTTGTTGTATGGGGAGTGAGGCAAAACTCCAGGAATGAGCAATCTTAAGTACCCTACGGTGGATACTTAAAATCCTGCATGACCCTAAGTACCTTACACCTTGGGAGTAATGGTACTATAGTATACCGTATACCAGGGCCATGCAGGATTTTAGTATCAACAATAGACCCTAAAACCCTTGGCCTGCCCTAGCTGGAGTGCAGCCTGCTACCGCCACCCACTCATAGGCCTGAATCAGATTTCGGTGGTTTAAGTGTAGGCTTGTTGTTAGCTACCAAGCCTTATCCTCCTCCTTAAGTAGATAGACTATGGGGTAAATGGCGATCTTATCATAATGTACCCGAAGCCATGTTCTATCTACTTAAGGGGACATTGGTAGTAATCTCCTTGGGACTTAGCTTGGACCTTAAACCTTTAAGCCTTTGGGCTTCCCTTATGCTCCTATTCTGGGTGCGTAAGGGTCAACCCTTAGTAGGGGTCCTACGTGCGCGTGGGATAGCAATCTAAGCAGAGATACGTGCTAAAGTCCCTAAGGTTTGCAGAATGACAGTCATACAGAGATTATACTTCCTTGGTTAGGGTTTAGTGCTTAGGGTTTAGGGTTGAATATCTTAAATAGCGACCTTCCTGGTCGGATTCCGCTAGACAGTGCTCACATGTTTGAACTCGCAAGCTTACATCTGGAGGCAAACAGGTGTGGACTGTTTAGGATTTACGAAAGTCATCCAGGCCGTCAAAACAATCTTTAGCTTGAAATCCCGATATTCACCTCAAGCTTCAAAACTGGGCTCATGGTGTTTGTGGATTTTGTGTTGTTTATGTTGAAGGGTGAAGGGCCCCATCAAATTGAATAATGAGGAACCAAATGGGTAGTGTCAGTATATAGTAGCTTTTTAGGGCTTAGGGGTGTCTGTGTCTGTGCCTGTGCCTGTGTCTGAGTGAGTGTGTGTCTGTGTGTGTGTAACGTTCCCAACAGGACTTATATCATCCCGATTTCCGTTACATTTCGTTTTCCAGATTCTTGTCCATTCGATACTCCATAATTAGGGCAATTTGCACGCAAAACCCTGAAGCCCAAATCCTGACTAATAGTTTCCATTTTCTTTCCGACCCTACATATAAGAGGTGTATATCGATATATACACAGTTATATATCCCTCTGTAACCCTAGCGCCCAAACACTAAACCCTGAGCCCTAAACCCTAGCAATTATTTAGGCCCTCTTGGCCTGGAGGCTTGCCGGCAAAATGCAGCCTACCTTGGGGTTGAGGTGCGCAACAGACAGGGTTTAGGGCTTAGGTTTTGGGGTTTATGGTTTAGGGTTTGGGTTTAGGGTTTGAGGTTTCTGCTGTGTTTATGCCAGTATGCCAACGTCCAGGTTGGGCTCTTTTAGCGAAGTAGGATCTAGGGTTCAGGGCTTAGGGTTAGGTTGAGGATTTGTGGTGTAGGACTTGCGAAGCATTTGTTTTTGAGGAAGTGCCCTCCCAAAATTAATCCAAGGTGGAGGACCTGCATAGAAGACAGCTGCAAGCGCTCAGATTGAATGGGAGATGTTGCGAAGCACTATGCCACAAAGTACCCCAAACCCTAAACCCCTAAACCCTAAATCCCTCTAAACCGCTCAAGTCACACCTTGGTCCACATGCGCTGTCCAAACCAAGCGTATAATGTGCCGTGCAAGACAGGCCGACAAACCCAAGACCTCAGCAAAGCTTGCCACGGCCAGTGATACAATAGGCACCGAAATGAGCTATAGTCTAAACTTCTTAAAGGGGGGCTATATAGGGGATCATAAAATATATAGAGTTTATATAGGGAAAATGGAAAATGAAATGGAAACTACTATTTAGGGTTTAGGGTTTGGGGTATAGTCTAAACTGCTTAAAGAGGGTTATCTAGGGGATTATATGGGGGAGTACTAGTATGGGGCTTATCAAGGGGGGTACCAGGAGTTTAGACTATAGCTTAAATGATGACCAACATCATGGTTCTAGATTCCTTGCATTTCCATGGTACGTCAACTCTCTTCAAGCGGACCTCAAGATGAAAACCTAAATCCCAAATCCTATCAAGTCCTTATACACCTCATGTCCCTTTTCAAGGCCCCCCATACCCAAGGCCCTAAACCCCTAAACCCCTAACACCTGAATCCTAAACCCTTAAATCCTAAAACACCTAAACCCAAAACCCCTAACCCCTGAATCCTAAACCCTTAAATCCTAAACCCCAAAACCCTAAACCCCAAAACCCTAAACCCCAAAACCCCAAAACCCTAAACCCCTATGCCCGAAGACCCCTGGACCGGTCAAGTGGAACCAACCCTGAGAAGGTGGAAGCCCACCTCGGAGACGTGCCAAGAGCTTGGAATGCGGGGTATAGGGTTTAGCGTTTAGGGTTTAAGGTATAGTGTTTAGGGTTTAGGGTTTAGGGTATAGGGTTTAGGGTTTAGGGTTTAGGGTTAGGGTATAGTGTTTAGGGTTTAGGGTTAAGGGTTTAGGGTTTAGGGTTTAGGGTTTAGGTCTTAGGGTATGAATACGGGCCCCAGTATCAAGGGGGTACTAAGGGGGATATTCGGATTTTGAACTATGGCACATATGGGAACAGCTGAAGGCTTCAGGTACGTTCCATAGACTCATAGAAGTTCTTGGAGCCTTTGAAGTTTGGCCTAGATACTTTGTTTTTCAAAAATAGGCGGACCCAATATCGGCTCCAAAATGCTTTAATCCTTATCATGGGGACACCCAAAACGGAAACCCGATTTTGGGAAACCCCCACACTCCTGCACCCTCCGCAATAGGCCTCGCCCCCAAGCGCCTTAGTTTGAGCACGAAACCCTTTCCCCAGGGGTCCAAAGTATGAAGCCGTCATAGGTTCCCACAAAGTTAAACACTAGTTACTAGCATAAGAATTTCCCTGAAGCCTAAACCCTGCACCCTAAACCCTGAACCCTAAACCTTAGCTCTAAACCTTACACCCCACACCCTAAACCCTACACCCTAAATCCTAAACCCTAAATCCTACACCTTAAAACCTCAACCCTAAATCCTAAACCCTAAACCCTACACCTTAAAACCTAAACCCTAAATCCCAAACTCTACACCTGAACCTCAGGGCTTCCTTTAGATTACCGCTGAGGTCGCGGAGTGGCGGCCTTCCGCTCGCCAATCATTCCGTGCACAAGTCGGGGTTCCAAGGTTTAGGCTTTAGGGTT